ATGATCCCATTAACATATAGTGCATTCATTTTTCGAATTACGTGTTTGCGAATAATTATGGTGATGAAAACCAGATATCGAATATCATAATTCATCAATTCAATGATAGACAAGAGTGTAATTATGTTGGAAGAGCAAATTGAATGGACTAAATTAAGTATGGAAAAGAACAACTTTCTAGCTCATTGCAGGCTCTTTTTTATGAGCAATAATGCAAGTCCAGATCAAGGACTTCTCTTCTAACTGTCATCTTCTTAGCATCCTTCATACCACTTCATAGGGTAATATTGCACAGTCAAAGTCAACTTTTGGGCATTCATAGATTCCAAGTTAATTCTTGCACAAATTCAAGCATGGAAAAAGTTGTTAACAACTAAATTGAAAGACTGAATTTAAAAGCATAGAAAACTGGCTAGTGCTTTCATACTTCCCACCTATCATTTTAGGCCAAATTGCACATCTTTAGCTCTTCTTCCTTAACAACATACAAATGGTATTAAAACTGGCTAGACACTACAAGAAAACTCAATTTCACCGACAACATATCATTGAGGTAACAGTTTTTCTCGGTGAAGCATCATTTTACCGACAAGAAATAAGTCTGAAAATTGAGAAACAGTAGAAATAGCAGTAAGATATATTATTTATCGTATAGACGTAATACTTGTCGATAACTTAAGATCATACATACGTGTTCCTTGTTGGTAATTGCAACCAACACTCCGGCTAGTGGGGGACGGACGGAAAGCCAAATCACCGACGAGAAGCAGGCCTATAAATTTATTTTTGAAATGAGAGTCTCGTCGGTAATTAAGGATAAATTTTCCAATGTACATCTTCTCGGTAATTCCCACTCCCAATGCAGCCCCGTCAATCAGCTGGCTACTTGCGTCAGGAAGTGCAGCTTTTTGATGCAATATTCCGACATTATCCTTGTCGGTAATTTCCCATTTCCCAACTCCCCGCGAATCCGGCTACTGGCCACTGGTGTTGCAGCTTTTATTTAGCTTACCGACAAGATTTAGGTCGGTAATGTATACATTGCCAACTTGATCTTTGTCGGTGATTGGCCCGGTCAACGAGAATTCTGATGCAACGCAGAGATGATCAGCTTTAGATTGTAGCAATGTGGGTCTCGTCGGTAAGTTTCCCTATTGCCCTGTCGAACCGCCCTTCTCCTTTCATTTTCATTTTCCTATTCTCTCCGCGAGTTGTTCTTGCTCTCCTTTCCTCCATTCTTTCCTTCGAAGCACTTTAACATTTTTCTTCTTACAGTATAGTGGATCAAGCGGTGGTAAGTACAATTTAAGTAATATTATTATTTTTTATATATTTTATGTATGTTTTATTTTTTTTCTAAAATTTAAACCATGAAATATTGTTATTAATTAGTTCATTAGTTATTAGTTAATATTATTAGATTTTCTTTAAAATAAATTTGATGAATAGTTATGAATAATGTTTTTATAAATTTTTAGTGAAATATCAACTATTAATGACAAAATTTTTATATTAAGTATTTGATATTAGCTAGTATTTCAGATTTGTTGTTTTGATTATATTTTAGGATGAATATATATAATTTTTGTGAGTTTTGAAGGTTTTATATAGGCAAATTTTCATGTCTTACCATTTTCTGCATTTCTTATCTTTTAATTAACTATAAAACATTGTATTTTTCATAGTTGAAGATTAAAAATAAATATTAAAAAAGTTGAGGGATGAAAAGTATGTAAACTTTAAAGTTGAAGGACCTACATTTTTTGGTTAAATAACCATGTTAGTCCCTCAACTTTCTAATTTAGGTCAAACTTATTCCAAAACTTTAAAAAGTACTAAAAATGTCCTTAAACTTTAATTTTTGGAACC